TACCACACGATCTAGAGTAAGAAGAAAGAGTGACAATCCTAAATGCCCTGTAGCCTCCTGCTTATAAGTGTGGTGCACGACACACCCATAAACAAGACTCTACTAGACACGGCTTGTAGACTCCCTAGGACAGAACTGCTCTGATACCTCTTTTGTCATGACCCAACCGATGGGCCGCGACGGGCACCCGGTACCTTACTCAATCGAGTACCTACATAACGTATCTTTTCATGTCATACTATCATAGATAACTGAGCCGGAAGGCTGCCGTGAGATAATTATAATACAACATGTAATACTAACTTATACATAAGACATATGGGCCTATAAGACCAAAATAACCACTCGTACACTGAACATAGGCCGACAAGGCCATACAATTTTTTACGTACATGACATCTGTCTAAAAGCCTCTAAGAATACATAATTTTCATAAAGGTCGGGACAGAGTCCCGCCATACCAAACAATACATGTCTAAATCATGCTAACCAAACAAGCAACTCCGAACCAAATGGAGCGCACCAACATCTTCCGCTGAGCCGATAACCTACTTGGAGGGCTCTCGACCTGTCTATCGGGACCAGCGGGCATGAAACGCAGCGTCCCCAGGCAAAAGGGACGTCAGTACGAATAATGTACCGAGTATGTAAGGCACATAAATAAGTACATAACAGACATGGAAGAAATATAGAGTAAATTACTCAACCTGTAAGTCTGGATAACTCCGTAAATCATGAAATATTTATAATGTCATGCATATCCGTGTAAATGCCATGTAATGCATAGGTCTGTACGTACATAATATCATCAAGCCTTTAAGGACATCCCATCATATCATCTCAGCCACTATGGGCAAAATCATCAACGTATACCAGCTGTTCAGGTGGTGGTGCGTATATAACGCCATAACCTTTCCCATATCCCATATACATACACATATATATATATATATATATATATATATATATATACACGCGTATATAACGCTATCTGGTCATGTGCATAAATATAAGATATAATAATAATTCACATGGGGAATCAAGAATATAGATACCCCTAGTATTTCTATGAATAAAGTCATTTAAAAGTTGCGTATTTTGCTCGTTTCATTCGTATTATTTGGATCCTGCAAAAAAGAAAGAAGGGATAGTCTTAACATACCTGGGACGATTCTCTTGACATTCCCTCTAACACACGTCAATTGCGAACGTAACGGCGGATCGAAGTAGAGAAAAATCCGTATGATATTCTTGAAAAAGATTGTACCGTGCTTTCTTAGAATTGCATCTCACGCATAATAGGATTTTGTATGAATTCTCACATTACAATCGTATTGGTTTTTGGATGAAATTTTCTTATCGGATTTTGTATGAATTCTCACGTTACAATCATATAGGTTTTTGGATGAAATTTTCTTGCCGAAGATCATTACTTTGGAGATGGAATGTAAGCATCTCAATTTTGTGCTTTAGAGAGGCTTTTATATTTGCGGGTGTGGGCCCCACTTTTGGGGATTATTCTTGACCAAAGACCCCTTAATGTGACACCTAGTCTTGATAATTCAAGAGTCATGTCCGTATAGCCCCATTGCTGCCACGTTACCAACTCATCCACCATATTTTTCAATTGATTTATTAATTTGTTAATCTCCCACTAATCAATAATTAGCCAATTACCCACATAATCAAGAATTATCTTAAATTACTTAAAATACTACCGACTTTTAACATACCTTATACGCCTTGCTATCATGGTCATGTGGTACCTTGTATGGTATTAGTCCATAAATACCGGGTATTTTAGCTCGGGCCATATTTTATTCCAAAATATCAAATTTCGACGAAATTCATTTTCTTCGATTTGTTTACTCTTTCACTCTCCCGAATTTACTCATTTCTTGTTTGAATTAGCATAAAATGCTTATAATTTTAAAATAATCTCATTCCCAAACTTACGTCGATTAACTTACAACGAAACTTTAACGTACGAAAATGCGGGATGTAATATCTCATTTCCGAGCTTTCACCAATTTGCTTATGGAATATTTTTACGTACGAAAACATGGGTGTAACAAAATAATATCTAAATCATGAATCGCACCACAATTCAAGCCTAATGAAATATTGAACTTTCAAGTTCTAAAACTAATGTCGAATTATACCAAACCTACTCAGATTGACCTCAAATTTTGCTCACAAGTCATAAATGATACAACGGACCTATTCCACCTCACGAAACTGAAATTCGAGCCCGGTATCAAGAAAGTCAATTATCGATCAAACTTCTCAACCTTCCAAACCTTCAACTTTCTAACTTTCAGCAATTCAAGCCAAAACGATCTACGGACCTCCAAATTACTATCCAGAAATACTCCTAAGTCCAAAATCACCATACGAAGCTATCGGAACCATCAAATCTCCATTCCGGAGTCGTCTACACAAAAGTCAAACTCCGGTCAACTCTTTCAACTTAAGCCTTCACTCTTGGGACTAAGTGTCCCAATTCACTCGGAAACCTCCCCGCAATCAATCCAACCGCCCCGGCAAGTCACGTTACCATAATTAAGCATAGAGAACCGATAAATGGGGGAGCGGGGCTACTATACACAAAACGATCGGCCGGGACGTTACAATCAATAATAGATCATGATGTATGGACATAGAGAATTTATTGACTTGCATTTGAAGACAATCAATCAACTTTGCGGCAATCTGAAATCATTTCTATGAATCGTTTGCTATCATTGTGTTTACTTTTTAATATTAGATATAATCCATCTTTCTATCATCTTCAATTGTCATATTATCTCACCTACAGATACATGAATATACAATATCAAAATAACTACAATCAAAGGTTGTGGATAGGGTAAAAAGTATTCTCATTATTGAGTTCGAATTCTGAGGATATAGTCGCTTTGGATGGGAAATACATTACCCTCCAAAGTGGGACGTTTCGGCTCGAAACTAGTATTAGTCGGATCTCAAAGCGAGTACTAGACACGGAGCAAGAATTATTATTTCTTTTTAAGGAAAAGACAATATCAAACAACTCATTTCGTACTCTAGTTTTGATACTTGCCATCTGATCATTTTTAATCTTTTGACTTATAGCAATACACTTGAAAGTTTGTTTTAATTACACAGGAAAGTCTTATTGGAGGTTTAGATAAAGAAAGAACAATAGAAAAAATTGTTTTGACCACCTTACATAGTAATAATGGTCATGTGCAGATCATTTGCAGGAAATTAAAGCAGAGACAATAGTCTGCAGATGCTGTTAGCACTAAGAAGGCATTTATTCATGCTTGACTTGGGTGCAAATAACAAGGCACCGCAGCCAAAGAGGAAAAAGTAAACTAAATTAAATTATGCAACAAATGTACCCCCACCACCTGCATATATTCATCAACTACCCGTGTGAGGCTTATCCTGATTAATTAATCTACAATATCTTTTGTTCTTCCCATATCGTTGAAGCATCGCCGCAGGCCTCTTTTGTTCAGGCATCTGTCTTTAGACGGTCACTTCTAGCCAATGCTATATTAATTTGTGCAGGCAATACATAATTGTGAAAACCATGTTTTTTTTTGTCAGTGCATATATTGTTTTGTTTGAAAAGATGTAGGGCGTGCTGTTTCCAGAACGAAAAATTAAATGTGGCCAGTCGACCTCGTTAGTTTCCAGGTTGTTCTCATGATTTTATTAAGGATTCATTTATCAAGCACTGAGGAGGAAGACATATAAGGTCTGAAAATCACTCGCTCATTTATCAGTTTATGGAGAGCGTGCAATTATATTGTTGCCTCAGAAGTTTCGGTTGATTGACGGGCTTAGCACATCTTTGCTCACTTCTATCTAATGTGATGTAAATTAAGAGTCTATCGAACTGTACAGAAAACATGGTTCTCTATCAGTTCTTACAGAACAAACATAGGTAAATAAATAGCACAACAGCATTTTACGTGGAGAACTCCCAACTCACGGGATTAAAAACCACGACCTACACTCGTAGGATTTCAACTTCAATAATCGAGCAACTTTAGATTTTAACCTATTGTAACCTAGGAATTAAACGCTTAATCCATCACCTACTTGCAATAACTCTATTGCAACCCTCTTTGTAATAACTCTATTACAAAGCTCACCACTTTGACTAACTCTAGTCAAACACAAACACAAATACAAGGTTTATGGTTTACAAAGATATCCTACGAGATGCTTCTAACTAAGCTGAGTAGGAATTACAAGTGAATAACATTAACAAAGATACAACAATACTAGGGACAAACGATGAACTCAGTGATTGGATCTGGTCCTTTGTTCTATTGCTACTTTGTTCTTCAAGCCTTGGAGTAAAAGAAAGCGGCTGCAAACTTGAGAGAAAATAATATTCTAGGGTTTGCAAGTGTGTGTAATTCCTTGCCTCATGTTGATAATATATAAGTGAGGTCATTAGGATGATGCAAGCAAGTATCCAGTACACAACATGCTTCAACAGTGACTGCTGCACTGTTGCGTCTGCAGTGCAGCAACTGTATAGTTGTAAAGTGTTGACTTGTACTGTGACCGAAGGAACTGATAGCCATATGTTTCCTCTACTGTTCCCTTGACTGATATCATTGGAACTTGTGCCAGACATGTGACTTGTTGTTCCGAGCACAAAGAGGCTTTGTATCAGGTTCCCTATCTGCTTCTCATATGAAGTTTGTTAAATCATCTAAACACAAATACTACAACATCTTAGGCCTACAACCACACTAATTTAGACAACGCTCAAAAAGTGTTGCCAAAAGTATATGTAGGAACACTTTTTAGGCGTGACCTTTGAGTAGGGTCTTTGGCTACGGGTTTTAAGGTAACACTTATAAAGCGTTCTGTTTAATTGTAAAGACAACATTTTCTAAGTGTTGCCTAAATATAATACTTTTGGCCACGCTTTTAAATTATATTGCAACGTTTTTGGACGGTTGCTATATTATCATACTAAATACCACCCTTTACATGCGCACCCTAAAAATTCCTTATAAAAAAATTCCCAAAAATTCCCCACCAAATTTACAGTGCATACTCCGCCAATTCTCATAAGTCCAAGATCGAATAGTGCTTGAAAAACCCTATAGGAATACATAGCAAAAATAGTACTTGGAAAACCCTAAGGAATAAGTAGCAAATCAGTTTAAACGCCACCGCTGCTCCAATCCCTCAATTGCTGCTTCTATTTCTACGTTTGCTTCATCCTTGGTTGCTGCTCTTCTATTGCTTTTAGAATTGTAAGTTCTCAAGCTTTTAGAAATAGTTATATTATACCAATCTCTGTTTTCTTTAATTTTCTAATTCCAAGAAAGAAAGAACTGAACGCTACAAAATTAATTTAGATAAAACCCATCTCATGAAAAAGTCTCTAATTTTTATTTATTTTTTTAAATTCCACTAGGTAAAGTGCTTTTGATCCCATTGGGTAAGAGTAACACATATTTCCTATAACCAAATTTGAGTCAGTGATACTCAAACTTAGTCGTACAATTTGATATAATCAAGTAGTATACGTCGAATGTATTTATGTAGTGATTGTCATGTATCTGAGTTGGTTCCATGCTTTTGTTATTTTTGTTGAGATTCCATCTTCCTGAATGTATTCAATTAGCTTGGTGATAGAGCCTCTGTTGTCCAAAAATAGAGTACAAACAGTTGGCGTCGCACACAAAATTCAGTGTCCTGGCCTGTTGTTTGCTCCTCTAGCCGATTGGATTCCCTTTAAGTTGACAAACCATTGTATGAATCGAATTCTTATTATGTTGAAGTAGTTGGATGTATTTGGATTTCCTTGCTAATAGCATTCACTACTTTTATCAGTTGTCTTCAAACTATAGTACCTTGCCAAATTCTCTTCTTAAAAGTTTTGGTATTCCAAAAAATATTTCTGTTCCAGAACTTTTGGTTACCTGTCATGTACATGTAATTGCCTATTTGTTTCACTGTACCCGTGATGACCTCTGTATCTGGACATAAACACCAATGAGGGCTACACAGTCTCGATGTCCATGTTGTAAGTTTGGACTGTCATCCTTCTTGTATTGACAGTGATGTATGGATGACTCCAGTTTTTCTCGCATTGCCGTAACCTCCTCCATGATGTTCTTTCCCGTTCTTGTTAATGGTCTTTCTCCATTGTAATAAAAACTTTGGTGTATAACCAACCATTGATACAGGAAGTGTATACTGCATAATAGTATATAATTTGCAATTTATAGAAGTTTTCTTATTGAGTTTTAGAGATAATAATTATTAACTCAAGTTGGTTCTCTTGTTTGAGATTTTTTTGAAGACGTTAACAAGAATATTAGGAAAAAGGAATTTGACACTACTATTCGATCACTTCCTGAAATATGAATATTGCTAAATAGGAATTTGATACTAGTGTTTTCTCACTTTCTGTTTTTCTTTTGATTTCATTGTTCTTATTCTTTCATGAATTTTGTGATCTTGTTTCTCAAAGAAGTCAATTTAACATGTGAGCTTTGGACTAATAAGTATGTATTAAGTTGAGTAATATCCTATCTCCCTACCAAAAGAATATTTTGTTGATTTATCTTCTTGTTGTGTGGATCCTATTAATTTTACTTTTTTTCTCCAATATTGATGGGGTACAATCTTTCTTAGAATTTGCTTACTTATATGGAGATCCTCAAGGCGAGGAAATTCAATGCCCATGTGCAAAGTGTTGCAATATTCGTTGGACTCAAAGGAATGATGATGATATTAATAGGTTATTGAATGATCAATTTAGAGATATTGCACAAGCCGAAGGACTTTATGAAGGTCCAAACAATTCGTCTATATTTGTTGAAGTGTCTACATGGATGGAGCAATGCGTCATTCACTTCTCTTTTAGAGTTATTGCATGTCCCAATGATTGCATGCTATTTAGGAATGAACATAGCTGTGAATATTATCATGTTTGTGGGCTTAATTCCTAGACTCAAAAGGCTATTCATGTGCTCCAAGACAACGGATACATTAAGGTGGCATGACGAGGAGCGTTCTAAAGATGGGAAGTTAAGCATCCTGCTGATGCCCAAGCATGGAAAGGCTTTGATAGCTTTCATCCGGATTTTGCAAGAGATTCTCGCAATTTGAGACTTGGCTTGGCAAGTGATGGGTTCAATCCATTTCGAACCATGAGCATATCTCATAGCACATGGCCCGTTATCTTAATGGCGTATAATTTGCCTCCTTGGATGTGCATGAAGTCATAATATTGTATGCTTTCTTTGCTTATACCTGGGCCGCGGTCACCTGGAAATGACATTGACATTTATTTACAACCATTAATAGAAGAGTTAAATGTGTTGTGGGAGTCTGGGGTGGAAACATATGATGCTTCAAGAAATCAAACCTTTCAAATGCGAGCAGCTCTTTTGTGGACAATCAGTGACTTCCCTGCATATGCTATGTTATCTGGTTGGAGTACAAAAGGGAAGTTGGCTTGCCCTTGTTGTAATTATGGCACTAATTCTCGCTATCTTAAGCATAGTCGAAAAATGTGTTATATGGATCATCGTGTTTTTCTACCAATGGATCATCCATGGAGATCCAACAAAAGGTCTTTCAATGGGAAAACAGAATTTAGGCTTCCTCCGCCTTTGTTAAAGGGAACTGATGTGCTTAATGACTTACAAAATATTAATAATGTCTTTGGGAAAAAGAGGAAGAGAACAAATGATGGCCCATGGAAGAAAAAGTCAATTTTTCCAATTACCTTATTGGCAGCACAATTCATTATGTCACAATCTTGACGTAATGCACATAGAGAAAAATATAGTTGATAATGTAATTAGAACTCTTTTGGATATTCCTGGCAAGACAAAAGATCATGCAAATGCTCGTTATGATCTAAAAGAGATGGGCATTAGAAAGAACTTTCAACCAAAAGATACAAAGGATGGTAAGAGAACAAAGTATGCAAAAGCGTGCTTCTCAATGGCTAATGGAGAGAAATCAGTTTTTTGTGGTGTTCTAAAGACAACAAAGCTACCTGATGGTAGTGCTTCCAATATATCTAGGTTATAAGACGCATGATGCCCATTTCATGTTACATTACTTGTTGCCAACACCAATTAAAAGCATCCTTCCTGATCATGTTGCTATTCCTTTGATTCGTCTAAGCTCTTTCTTCCGCCATTTATGTCAAAAAGTTATCACACTGGAAGATCTAGATTGTTTGGAGAATGAGATTAGAGAAACATTGAATCAATTGGAGCGAATTTTTCCTCCAACTTTTTTTGATATAATGACTCATTTCCCTATTCATTTGGCAAACGAAGTAAGATTAGGAGGTCCCGTTCAGAATCGATGGATGTATCCTCCCGAAAGATATATGTGCACGTTAAAATCATATGTTCGCAACAAAAATCATCCAGAAGGATCTATTGCTGAAGCATACTTGGTTGAAGAGTGTTTGACTTTGTGCTCTAGATACTTACATGGGGGTGTGCAAACCAGATTTAATAGAAGACCCCGAAATAATGATGAATGTGGTTATGATACACAAACTTTCAGTTTGTTCCCTAAAAGAGGCTGCCCTTTAGGAGCCAAAAAGAGTGATCCAATTGTTTTAGATGGCAAGTCACTATGTCAGGCACATGCATACGTATTGAACAATTGTGATGAAGTTCAAGAATATATCAGGTAATTTTGTTCACTTGTAGTATTTTCTTTTACGTAGATAATTCTAAAATTATTTTATTTATCTTTTTCTAACAAATAAAAATGATTGTTCTGTAGAGAACATGAGGTGGAGGTTAATAATCAGAGGCGAGGATCTAGATGGAGCAAGGCCAAAAATCATAGTCAAAACTTCTCTCAATGGTTTGAAACTCGTGTATTGCATGAGGATGTGTCCGATATGATAAAACAGTTATCCATAGGACCAAATTCAATTGCCAAAAGATATTTTGGGTATCTCATTAATGGATATAGATTCCATACGAGGCAGCGTGATGCAAGGCGTAAAACGCAAAATAGTGGTGTTACATTAGGTGCCCTAACGACAAGCTTTGCAAGCTCAAAGGATAAAAATCCAGTTGATGCGAATTTGACTTATTATGGCAGAATAATTGATATAGTTGAGTTAGACTATGGCCATTTTAAGGTTTTGTTGTTTAAGTGTGACTGGTATGAGGTTGAACATGATATTTATAGCCTTACTTATGTCTACTTCAATAAGAAATGCTATCAGGAAGAGCCTTTTATTCTAGCAGATCAAGCACACCAATGCTTCTATGTGCAAGATCCATATGATCAAGATAAACATTATGTTATGAAGACTGTCACGGGAGACTTGTTTAGCATAAGTGACCAAATTGAATCTAATGCCCTACACTGTTATGAAAATGAGCCGTCTGAACATTTGGCGGGCCCATCTGTGCCGGATGATAATGGTGAAGTTGTCTTAGTAAGGAATGATTTAGAAGAAACGATTATTGATGTGCCTCCAGAAGGATTTCTTGCAGAATAACTTGAAATTGAATCGGAAGACGAGTTTGAAACAGAGTACGAGTTTGAATCGGAGGACGACGAGTTTGATTCTGAGGATAAATTATGAGTTTGATTATAATTCAAATAGAATATAGCTCTGCCCTTTCTTTAACGACTAAAGGCACATTAAAGATTAGTAGATACTTGCTTTAGACTCAAACGGATGATATTTGCTTGACGATGTTTCCTTGTCTATTTTGTCATGTTCTAATATTAAATTTTATTTTTGCTGATGGTTTCTTCCTTATGCCTATATGTTATGTGCTCATATAATTTTAGAGTGTCACTTTTGTTTTCTAAAGCATTTGGTTATTATTAAGTGTGCCTCAATTTAGTTTCATAGCATGAGGAACCATATTACATCATATATGAAAAGAGGTTTAAGTCCTCTAGTTTTGCACTAAATATCCCGGGAAGTGAATGTGAGTAAGTAGAAATTGTAGTTCTGAATTTGTCACTAATCTTATTATTGGAGTATTGAAAAATGTGTTAAAGTATACATTTTTCTTCTATTGTTATCAGGTGGTGCTGATTCAACTAAAAATCATTGTTGACTAGAAATTTTGAGGAAGCAGATAGATACTGAACAGGTATCTCTGCAACTCTATTTATCTATTTAGGAAGCATATACTATTTGTTTTTGTAACTGAACAACTTGTGTTCCTCTGACTTAGCAATTTCCATCATTTAATTGGCTAAGTGAAAAGCAAATATAACCTTTCCCCGTTGATTCTAGTTACTCGTTTGTTGGTGTGGATTTTCAGTCTTTGGCTGACCTGATGCAACATGGCAAGAAGCGTGTTAGAGGCTAGTGACTAAATTTACTTATACTTTACTATAGGAATATGCTTGATCAAGTGTTCTATGAGTACATATTTGTAGACTTTGAAATTGTGTAATCTTGGTATTTTTGTAGTTGTTAATCTTCCTATCTGAGATTTCTGTCTGATATACTGTCATTCACTACCTTCCATGATACATTATATGAACTGCAAGTGATCTTAGGTACAAAACACAACTGAAATGGGATAGGAAGTTTGACAGTAGAGGACAGACTGAATAAGCTATTAAAATGTACTTAACATATACAGCAATTCTCTGGGACTTTACATCTTCAATATTGCCATTGAGCGGCCACATTGCTGGGGTATAACTATATCCGTTTAGCCTTGAACAAAAGAAACTCAGATTTGCTTGTCACTTTAACTTGCAGTTATTCTCATTTTGATTTTTGTTCATATTTTACTGTGTGTTGTTATTACAGTTCATCTATTCTTTAAAGTGACTTCACTGTATAGTTGTTCACAATTCCAGGAATATTTGTAAGCGCCACTAGTTTATACTATAATAACACGGTAAGGCAACATGAACACTGTTTAAAGAGTATTTTAACCCAAAATTAACATACATTACATATACAATGAAAATTCAAATCCAACAATAAAAGAAAAGACCTGGAAGAAAGGCATCACCTTCCCTTTGCCATTATGACTTGCCTGTGAGTTCTCTTCGCATCAGATGCTGTGAAGGCTAATAGTCTACACGAAAGTCACCTTCACTATCATCATTGATTCCCTTTCTCTTTTTCTTTGCCTTGGAATAGTCAATGGTAAAAGATCATTAAGTATTGGAGGAACTTTAGAAGCATGTATCTTAATCAGATACTAACAAATGAGTAAGATAAACCAAACTACACATTATGCAATTCAAAAGTGTAAGCAACACAGACAGTTGATATAAATAGCAGAAAGCATTGCCTTCTTTTCAGGAGCTTCTCAAGTAAATCAATAGCTAAAAACAGATAATAAACAAAGCAAATCTATAGAGTTCAATTTGCTACTACACATTAATTTAATAGAGTGAAAGAAGAAACTGGTCCACATGCACTATGCACTATTTGTAGTTACAGTTGCAAAAAAGTTCCAAACCTTCAGTAGAAACTTTAGATGATATCTAGAAGGAAAAAGGCAGCAAATTGGCAGCATGCTGAAGCACTAAATCAGCAATGTTTATGGCATCTAACCCACATTGTACAGATTAGAAACAATATAGTGATACACTCTCCCTCAACAAATTTCTGGATAAATATTAAATAGGACAGTAAACATATTACATAAGACTAGTACAAATGATAAAACATCATAAAAGTCCCACAATAAATTCATTGATTCTTATGCCTACATATAATGAAGAAGAAATGAAGTTCTCCCATATCTGTGTTCTTTAAACACTTGAAACGAAAGCTAAAAAAAGATACTATTATTAAGAGCTCCTGGATCTTTACTAAAAAATAAGACATGTTGAAGTTTCTCAAAAGAATTCATAGTTGGGAAAGAAACTTGATTTACCATGACCAAGAAATAATTTTCCAAATTGAAACTAAATCACATTCCTCTTTATAAGTGTTGCTTTTAACAGCTTCCAGTGCAACATTCATTTACAACAACCCCTGAAAATGTTTCATGTCTTTTGTAGGAAAAATAAAAGTTAGTTTAAGTTATTTTAGTATTCAATCTATCTTGACTTGTAAGTGATGTGCAGTAATATTTTTTTCTCACAGTCTGAACTTCAGAATCGTCAAAGTTCCGGAGAAACAGCAGATGATGCATTTAGGGCTGTGTTTGGAAAGGAGCAGCCTGGTCGGGTTAGATGCTATGGTAGATCGGTGACGACAAGCTCTCTGAAAAAAGATGAAGAAATCGCCAAGCTTAAACAAAAGCATGCCAACGAAATGACTTCTCTGAAACAAGAAATGAAGGAAATGTTGAGAGAAGAAATGCGATCTTTTCTTAGTCAAGTGGTGCAAAACAACCATGAGCTGAATTTTCATGATATACAAAGATGTGCTGGATCTAATATTCCTTCACCGGTTGATGCACGTAGTGCACGAGCTATAAGAGGCCAAAATCTACCACATTCTTCTGGCTCAACTCATGCTCCGAATCTTGAAAAGGTATTTATTTTTTGACACTTCCAAAAAACTACCTCAATCTTAACTTTCAAAATCATGTTTTCCCAAATTATTTGCTTTTGATTGTTCTGTTATATGATAACGCTAGTACAAAAAGAATTCTAGCGGCAATAAATGTTCGATTTAGCGGCAATAATAATGGCTGCAAAATAAGTTTATTTTCCTCTTGTTAAAAGAAAAAGACACGTGATTCTTTGTTAACAAAGGATCAGTTGGTGCCAAATTTTACCACACGAAACTATTAGCTCTTTTCAGTGAAACACGATCTAGTTAAGGTATTTGGTTATGGAAAGAATTCAATTTTGGTTAGCGAGCTTCTGTTTGATATCTACCATCAATATAATTTCTCTTCATTAGATGTTTTCCACTGAAACATGTTAGTGTTTTAGTGGAAGGCCCTTGTTATATGTATTTTCTAGCTAGTTTAATTGCTATTGTTATTAAATTAAGTGATTGTTGCGATTATACAAGGAGATAAATTTTTGTCTTTGAACCTATACTTTAAATGTATTTTACTTTTTTCCTGTATTGACTTGTTAGAACGTCATTACAGAAGTATCAACTCACTACTACTAAAAGCAGTTCATGAATATGACTTACAGATGTTATAAATACACAATTTTAACTTTAACATACATATTCATGCAATTGTGTTGTTTTAATTGGGATTTACAAAGACTCTTAACAATGTCTTTTATCTTCATGAAAAGAATTTTTGATACTTAGCTATTGGTTTGCTACATTTGTTACCTCTAATATGGGTAGTGAACAGTGAGCACCCTCACTTTTCTAACTTAGGGGATTAATTCTTTTACTTATGTTTTGAGCATAAATTATATCATACTTTCTATTCTTTTGCTTTTACTTCTTTGTCTGCCTTTTAATTCTCATAAATATATAATATCACCTCTCTCATTTCCCATAAATTTTGAGTCTTTTTGCTGAGTTTCATCAGTTAAGAAAAAAATGATATCACTTTCAGACCTTTGCTATGTTTTCACTGCTGTAGTTCCACTGTATATAGCAATGATCTTAGCTTATAGTTCAGTAAAATGGTGAAAAATCTTCACCCTAGATCAATGTTCAGGGATCAACAAATTTGTTGCTCTTTTTGCTATTCCATTGCTATCTTTTCACTTCATTGCTTCCAACAATCCTTATGCAATGAACTACAGGTTCATAGCTGCTGACACTCTTGAAAAAATCATTGTTCTTTTTGTTCTAGCCATTTGGTCAAGAATGAGTTCAAGAGGTTCCCTTGAATGATCCTCTGTTAAAGGGTATGTATGGTGAAGCCTCAGGAAGTTTAATGGTCCAAATCGTTAGGTTTGGCAAAGCTTTCTGAGATATTGGGATGTAAGCATGTTATTAATTCACATTTTTGCTTCTCCTTGGCTTGCACCTCTTTTTCTGTGTTTGACTTAGTTATGCTTTAGTAGTGAAATAAACCTCATTAATTATTAATTAGACATGTTGTTATAACCAATGCATACTACATATAGGTTTTTTTCTAATTTTTAATTTCATTTTGATTGTGTAGGAAAATGCGGATGATGCAATTGGAAATGGTGGCCACAAATGAATTTGATCTATTGATGCGAATGATGAAGATTTTTTGAACGATTGTGACGTTTATTATTATAAATACATTCGGTTTTGAATAGTTCATTGCTAGTGAACTTCTTGATGTAGTAGTGCTTTATTAGTATGGGTATAGTACTATGCAAATTATATTTTTTGTTGAAGTTTATTTCAAGTATATGTATTTGAATAATTTTTTATTCTGTTACTTATTATTTAATTTGATGCTTGAGATCATAATGTATGTACTTGAAATAAATGTGAATACAGAGTTTAATGTAGGTAAAAATAATTTCTTAACCACACAATTGTGGCAAATATAAGTATTTTTAAAATTATTTCATAGCGTAGACAATTGCCACGCTTAGAAAATGTGACCATAGAGACTGGCAATTTGACGCCATGCTTGATCACTGTTGCTTTAGAAGCCACGCTCTAAGAGTGTGGTCTATAAAGCAATAAAGACCACACTTCAAAATTGTAGCTCTACGTCATAAAAGTGTGGCTATAGAGGAAATATAAAGTGTAGCTTTTTTAGTGCATCGGCCACACTTTTGAAGCGTGGATCCTACCGGCAACATGTAAAAAGCGTGGCCATAAGTCAAAGGTTACGGTACTTTAGGCCACCCCCTAAAAGCGTAGCCTAAAGTCGTAAATTGTTGCCTTTGAGCTAATGCTACACTTCTTGACATCTTAGGCCACACTTTTCAGGGGTCGCTGGAGCCCTTAAATGTTGTAGTGAAAGGCACATAATTTATCAATTTCCCCTTTTTTAATAATGACAAACATATAGTTGAAGTTTTCCTGAGAAGCAGATCTCCATATAGCTAATGCAGATTTGTCATATTCCCCCTAAGAACCTATTTCTTTCCTTCAATTTTTCTTCCCCCTTTTGGATAATAAAAAGATTATTTCAAATAAACACAAAAAGAAGTCCAACAAAGTTAACTCATGCCACTTGTGTGCACATAACATAGCTAAAAATAGAACATAAGAGTATAACATGTATAACAAAGGGCTCAGATGCTCATTAATTGAAGAGAGAAGAAAAAAGATAGGCAGTAGTAGTACCATTGTTACAAAATATCCACAAACTAAACAAACCAAAGTACCACAGTCATAAAACAAAATATCAAAACAAGACACAGGGAGTAAGACAGACACTAATAAACTGGACACTGACATGGGGACTGTTTAAGGGGCACTGGAAGAGGGAGGGAAGGATAAAAGGGCAAGGGCTTTGTGAAGAACATGCACTCGAGCATTTGCAGGCCGCTGCTCATTGATCAGCTGCTCTTTTGGGTTCTCAACCTATTTCCTCAGGTCTGCATTTTCAGCCGTGAAGCGGGCAACCTCTGCACCCTAAGCACTGCTAGAACTAGGTTCCTCTTTGGCTTGACGGAGTTGTCCCTCAAGAAAGGCATTCCTAGCCTTTAGCCTCCTTATCTCCTCGTAAGAAGCAGTCTGAGCATCGACCAGCTGAGAAATCATAGAATTGTTGCCAACTCCCCCTTCTTGTCGATACACTTGCACTCTTCCAAGGTAGTCATTGAGAACGTTTGCTTTCGAGTTCCAACAGCTACCCTCCCCACGGGGTCTTCGAAATATTAAAACACTTTGGTGAGCAGTAACCCATAAAGCAAACCATGGTTCCCATCCTTGAATTCTGCCACCTTTTTCATATGTTCAATCATGATTCTAGGCAGGTTAATAGTAGTGTATCCATCCAATGCCTCCAGGAGGAACATGTCCGCTATTGATGCAATGGAACGTCTGTCCGCTCGAGGGAGCATGACCTTGTTCACCATCTCAAGCATGAGCTGGTATTCTGGAAGCAAGGCCTTCTTATGCATTTGTTACCCTTTCTGAACAGCCTGAGGCTTTTGAATAACCTTCCTAAAATCGGCGGAACAGGTCCCGTCAACAGACGAGAGCCCCAGTAGGCACATCCAGGATACTCCCTAGTACAGCTTCATCCATCAATAAAGTCACTCCATTGACCTTTAGGCAGATATTGTCATCCTCCACAATGAACAGATCGGCATAGAAGCTGCGAACTTCCTCTATATAGACTTTTGGACTCTGAATAGTAAATAAAGGAGTTCACTTCCTGAACTCGCAAGCCGTCTCATGCCTGAAATGTCAAGAATTTCAGCATCAAACACTCTGCCCCACAACACTTTTTGCTTCTTCAGCTTTTCTCTTCTATTAACTTTAGACACTTCCATTCTAGCCTTCTTGGAGGAACCAGGTTCCGCACTGTCACTTGCCTTTCTCTTGTGAGATTTCTTCTCAACACTTTTCTCCTTCCTACTAGACTTAGCTTTCTCACTGGACTCCTTCTTCTCAACACTCTTCTCTCCATCAATTTCAACACCTTTCACAGACGACCCTTTCTTGGACTTCTCAATCGCAAACTTCTTAGAGAATTTACGAACAAGGGAAACAAGTTCCTCATTCACCTCTTCGTCCTCAACATCCACAACATTTCCCGGAGGCAAATCCTCCTCATTCACTAATGTTCTCGCCTTTACCAATATTCTTCTCTTCTTATTCTCTTTATTCCTCTTCAAAGCATTTTCAAGGGTTTCTTTCTTCTACTGCCTAGTAGTGGGTCTTTTATGAACAGGCTCTTTAGAGACTGCCCTACCACTTCTAGCAGTGATAAACTGTGCTAAAGGCATATATCATAATCCTCCTCACTTTCATCATCTTCTTCTTCAAACAGGGGTTTCATTTGAGGAATCACAAACTAATGGAACTGCATCAAGATGAGGAGAAGGAAGATGGTCAGTAATGTCCAGGGGCTTTTTAGTGGAGTATGGAGTTTCATCCCAAGTAGGAGCAGAGTGCTCCTCATGGGCAGAGGGAGCATGTCCCTGTGTTGGCTCCCCTATAGTACTAACTGGCACCAAGTCACCTTGAGGCACCAATTCCCGACTTCCATCCCCATTCCTTTTTTCTTCCCCCATAGTCTCAGCACTCACATCACCAGTCATATACTCCCCAACCAAACTCCCTTTAGTAGAAATAAGCAACATATTTTCTATTGCTTCTTTTTTACTCACATCCAACAATGTAGAATCAGTAGAAGTGAGAGAGGCGTTACCTGGTGGTGATACACTATTTAGATCAAAAGTTGGAGCAGAGGGGGTGGTAGATACACCAGATGCTTCACCAAGACTAGCAAGACCCTCTTGGGCTATAGTTGCTTCCTCAACCCGCTGACTCGAAACCTTTCTCCCCTCTTCTCCTTCTACCATTCTATCTTCTGCCATTTTATCCGGCGTAGCAGAGGGAGAGGTTGACGTGACAAACTTCTTTAGTGTTTGATTTTTCCGGCTACGATAGGAACCAAAACTTGATAGAGTCGGGGAAGAGACAATGTGTGGTGGTTGGTCGGTGATGGGGGTTTCACTGGGTGAAAGTTTAAGCTTAGATTTGGGCTATTGTGCTTCGTGACACGAAGACACAGTAGTAATGTCATTGGTGGATTTAGGAGACTCTGATTTTTGAAAAAATATGGTGAGTTCTTAGAGTAAAGTTACGAGAAAGAGGGTTTTTAGAGAAAAGAAGAAGGTTTGATGGCTTTGATGTAGACAGTTATAAGAGAGACATGTCTTTTGGGGTTATTTAGAGGGATGGAGGGACTATTTACAATTGGATGCAACAGACTGGGTAGTCGAGTCGGTTTGTAACGAGTATGACATTTGGGCGTAAAAGGTGTGGGGAAAAGGGTGGACACATTTTAATGACGTGGCACTTTTAGCAGTTTAAAATGCGTATAAGTATAAGAGGAACTACCAAGCTCAGTCAAGGGAACCAGGTTCCCTGGCTGATTTTTCAAATATAAGCATCATCCTCTTACCAAATTGCAATGTTATTAGCTGCTTGTTTGACCTGTTATTGTGATACGTGTTTACCTATAAAGATATTGAATTGAATTAAAATTACCTTACCATTTCTTCATAGCCAGTCATTGAGGGACCAGGTTCTCTTTTCAATTTGATTAGTCCAAACTCCAGTCAATTCTTTTCAAAATGTTCTTTGCTTAATGATTTGGTGAAGATATCAGCTACCTGGTCCTCTGTATTGCAAAACTTCATGAAGATGAGACCCTTTTCAACATTGTCCCTAAGGAAATAATGTCGCAGATTAATATGCTTTGTCCTCTTATGCTGAACAGAGATCTTTGACATGTTGAGAGCACTTGTGTTGTCACAAAGTACTGGCACACAGTCAGAAAATACACCAAAATCGTCTAGTTGTTGCTTGATCCACAACAAATGTGCATAACAGGAAGCAACTGCTACATATTTAGCTTCTGCAGTAGACAAGGTTACAGAGTTTTATTTATTTGTACCCCATGAAATCAATCATGACCCCACAAAATGCTCCATCCTAGATGTACTCTTTCTATCCACCGAATAACTAGCATAATTAGCATTAGCATACCCAATTAAGTCAAAATTATCTCCTGAGGGATAATAAAGGACCGGGTTGTGTTCCTTTGAGATACCTCAGAATTCTCTTAGTAGCTTTCAAATGAGATTCTTTTGGACTTCATTGGCACGTAACCCCACACTCAACACAATGTTAGGTCTACTGGCTGTAAGATACAAGAGTGAACCAATGATTGCCTGATTCATGGTTTCATTCACAGGGGAACCAGGTTCGTCCATGTCTAGACGAGTGGCTGTGGAAATAAGAGTATCAATGGTCTTTGAAATTTCCATCTCAAACCTCTCCAGAAACTCTTTAATGTATTCCTGCTGCCTTATCATCGTTCCCTTAGAGGTTTGCTTAACTTGCAGACCTAGGAAGAAGTTCGGTTCCCCCATCATGCTCATTTCAAACTTACTTCCCATATGCTTGGAAAACTCCTCACACAAGGAATCATTTTTGCACCAAAGATAATGTCGTCATTATAGACCTGCACAATTAGCAGGTTCCTCCCTCTTTTCTTCAGAAAAAGAGTGTTATCAATTTATCCTCTAGTAAAACCATTTTCCAGAAGGAACCTGGATAACCTTTCATACCATCCACGAGGGGCCTGTTTTAATCAATATAGTGCTTTGTCAATCTTGAATATATGTTCAAGATGCTCATGGCATTCAAAACCAGATGGTTGTTTGACAAAGACTTCTTCCTTTAAATATCCATTCATAAATGCACTCTTGACATCTATTTGGAACAATTTGAA